TGAGTCCAGTCCTGTTTCCACGGATTCCAGCTCTCAGATCTCTCGTGCCTTGCCCAAGCTCTGATCTCTCGTGCCTATTCACTCAGTCTCTGGGAATATTCGTTCTGTTCTGGAGTTGCTGCACAGTGCCTCCATCTCACCATCTCCTCTGGAAACTCTGGGCTTCTCTTGGATCCACTCCTACAAGAACCACCAACTGAGTTCCCCCGGTACCTAATGTTTCTAGCCATTTAGTGTTTCATGGAATACAAGTCTTACCTTGTGATCTTGTTTCTGCAGTTCTTCGTTGCCTCCTGAGTCCAGTCCTGTTTCCACGGGTTCCAGCTCTCAGATCTCTCGTGCCTTGCCCAAGCTCTGATCTCTCGTGCCTATCCTCTCAGTCTCTGGGAATATTCGTCCTGTTCTGGAGTTGCTGCACAGTGCCTCCATCTCACCATCTCCTCTGGAAACTCTGGGCTTCTCTTGGATCCACTCCTACAAGAACCACCAACTGTAAGATAAGAAAGCTACTTACAAGTTTAAACCAAACAACTTACCTGCCCCAGCTGAACTTGTCCTCCGTTTCCAGGAGTTCCAGTCCTGATGCCTGTGCAGCCAGATTATCACTGTAAATAAATAAACACTGTTATTTTTTACTCTGAGTCTCGTGTCCTTCCGGGTCTCGTTCGATTGGGTCACTCCTGAGATCTCACATTCTGTTGGTATATTGAGGCCAAGTGCTTTCGGACACAGGAAGTGCCAAAGGAAAAATGAAGATGATCTATTTATAAAAAATAAAATAAAAAAATAGCTGACGATGCAGCAAAAAACTTACTTGGGTGAAATGGAGGAAATGATGGAGGAACAGACATGACAGGCTGGGAAGCACAATGTATGGACCAAGGAGAAACGCAGAGATGTTGACTTTATAGGGAGACTAATGAGACAGACTGATGAACACCTGGGGTGACTGAGATTGTAGACAGGCGAGACGGGAGCTTACAATGAGGAAGCAAAACACTGGGGAGTGCAGGAAAACAAGGATATAAAGAAATTACAGAACAAAAACACAGATTCCCACAGTATCCCTCACTTAAGGGATGGCACTTGATCTTCCAAAGAAAACTATATTTGACACAGGAGAGGAAGGAGGAAATGACAGGATGGAGGGCACACAGGAAAACACAAGGACCAAAGAACCAAAAAACAGACAAGAAAATAACCTGGGGACCAAAATGCAAAAGAAAAAACAACAACCTTGAGTGAGTGTTCAGGTGGACGGCCAGTAGACCGTCCAGAGCAGGAGAGGTGTTCATGTGGATTGCCCAGAAACAGTCCAGAACCGGAAAAGAGGTCTGGTGGGTGGCTCGGAGATGGTCCAGAATGGGGCAAGAGTTCTGTCGGGTGGCCAGGAGACCTTCCATCACAGGGCAAGTGTGGCATCCACCTGAACCCTCTCCAAATCAGGTGGATGATAATTGAAGAGATCAGACGTGAGGCTGCAGTGGCAGGTGTCAAGATTGTGAAGGAGAGAGCTGTAGCAGGAGATGAGCCCGGTGAAGCTGCAGTGGGAGATGAGTCCAGAGGAACTGCAGCACATGATGGGACCAGCAAGGCTACATCAGACAATGAGACCAATGAGCCTGAAGCAGGCGATGAGACCAGCAAGACGGCAGTAGAAGATAAGGCCGAGTGGACTGCAGAATGATATGAGGCCAGTGGAACTGCAGCAGGAGATGCAGACCAGAAGTTGTCAGCTCTGACACCCACAGAGAGGAAAGGAGTAAAAAGGTTTTTGTCCCAGACATCCACAGAGATGCACAAAGGAGGTGGAGGGTTGTTCCTGACACCCACTGAGATGCACGAAAAAGGTGGAGCACCATAGCCTACCACCACAGAAACAGAGGAAGGTGGAACATCATGGTCGACCCCCTCAACAGCACATGAAGGTGGAGTGTCATGGCCAACCTCCTTGGAGACACAAGAAGGTGTAGCATAATGGCTAAACCCCAAAGAGACACCGAAAGGTTCTGACTCCCACAGAGACACAGGAAGGTGGGTCCAGCTGCTTCATTGGCTGCCAAGTGCATGGCTGCTCCTTCAGTGGGCAAGAGCTCGGTTGCTCCCCTGGTTAGTGAGAACACAACTGCTCCCCTGGCTGATGAGGAATCAGCTGCTCCCTCAGCTGCTGAATACTCAGTTGCTCCCTCGACAGCATTTGGGAAGACTCAGGTAGAGGGAGGTGTTGGGGTTTGGAGGATCCTGTCCAAGTCTGCTGTCAGCCCCTCCCGTGGTGAAGATGAGGAGGGAAGTGGGGGGAGGATCTGTGGGTTGAATCTCTCCAACAGATGACTCAGGACAGAGGCAAGGATCATGGGGGATTGGAGCAGTGGGCGGCAGGAGAAGGAAGTGCAGCTCACTTCTCTCCTTCCATGCTTTGTCAAAAAGCTCCCACATCCCCATTAATTCGCTCCGTCCTACCAGCCAAGTAAACTCACCCACTAAGTCCTCAAATGCCACCATCCTCTCCTGCAGATCACTGAAGGTATCCACAGTGTTCATATAACATAGAGTTAACTCGCAGAGCCGTTGAAGGTCCTTGGGGGTGAGCTCTGCGAGGAACGGACAGCCTGCTGGGTTTTTGATTTGGTCTGTGCATTCTGACATTATCAGTTGAATCCACGTGCAGGCAGACACAGGAGGCTCCAAAGGTAAACTAAAAGATGATCTATTTATTTAAATAAACAAACAAACAAACAAAAATTTGTTCACATGCAAAAACCTGCTTAATGACAGTAATGTAACATGTATGTAATTTATTACTGCCACCCCTGTTGAATTCTGATTTAGGAAATTTGCAATGGGTATGAGGCAGTCCTGGAGGTGACTTGGAGCTCACTCCTCACCTCCTTCTACAGGTGTGCAGTGGAGAGCATCCTGTGCTCCAGCATCATCGTGTGACATGGAGGCTGCACAGCTGCAGAAAGAAAAGCTTTGCAGAGAGTGGTGAAGGCTGCCCAGAAGACTGTTAAAGTCAGCCTCCCCACCATCACAGACATCTACACCTTCAGATGCAAAAAGAGGGCCACCTGCATCATGAAGGACCCCACTCACCCAGCAAACACACTTTTTGCCCTACTCCCCTCGGGCAGAAGGTTGAGGAGCATTAAGTGCAGAACCACTGGACCGAGGAACAGCTTCTATCCTGAAGCTGTTAAGACTCATGAATCTCTAATCAGGATTATCACTGTGAAAAAACAAATCAATCTAATGCCACTTGATTGTTGATATGTGCTGCTGACTATCAATGCTGCTGATCTCATGCTGCTGTATTCATTCGTACTCATCAACTCATGCAGACTCATGTTTGTGCTGCTGTTGATCAACATATTGTTTTTGCACTATTTAATATTTTGCATATTCCTAGTTTAGCATATTTCTTAGAACATTTCTTAGATCTTATTACTGTTTTTATTTTACAATTTATACTTTTGTTGGTTGTAACTGGGACCATGTGTACACAATTTCGCTCCACCACATGTACCACATGAGATGTAAATGGTATTAAAGAAACCTTGACCTTGACCTTAGAAATACAAATTCCTGATATTATCAACAAAGTTTTCAGTTTATTGTTGAATTGGGGAGTCAGAGTGTTTGTTGGGTGAGTATCACTGAGGATGACCAATCAGCAGTGAGTAGCTGTGGCCCTTTTTGCAGATAGTTTCAGCAGATGCACTCCGTGTGATCCACAGACATTGTTGCTTACTGGTTCAGTACATCCTGGGTTGATGAAGAACCTAGTTGGTTTGGGATGCATCTTGGGTTCAGGAAATTTGGATGAGGGAGAAAAAAATGTGCAAGCAAACATTCACCATAGGTCAGAAAAGGGTCAAATCATCAGTGTTACACTATTAGTTCTCCTTTCATGTTGCAACTCAGTGAGCCAAGTAGTAAAAAACAGTATTCTGTGTTAAACCTTTTGAAGAGTTCACAAAAATAAGCAGTTTTGAAACATGTTGACAAGTAATTATACAAATGATTCATGCATTAGTCTAATAAAGCTGATCCATACATTTTATTATTTATTGTTAATTGGCATAAAGAACAGTTTTAATTTCCTTTTTCATGTTCGTTCCAAAAGGCATAAGATAAGACTTTGGTACAACTAAAACAGTGAAATAAAAGTCTGAGTAACATACTATGTACAGCTTTCCAATAGTAGAGCATCATCAGAAAATCACCATTACTGAAAAAAAATAGTGTACTTTATGAGTACATTTAGAAACACCTGACAAGTATTTCAATTTGCAATCCTACCTAACATTAACATGAAAAACACCTCCAATCCAAAACATTAGATTAGGTATGTCTCCTCTGTATATGAGAAAAAAAAAAACCCAAAAAAACAACAATCTGCCTAATCTTGAGAAAAATACATAATACAAGACAATAGTCTTGTCAATAAGTCTTCACTCCTACCCCTTTTTATAGTTCCACAGAGACATGGCTCTGTTTTGATATGGAACAAGATGGATCAAAAGTCATAAATACCCGTTCAAGTCTTTGACTTGATGTGCAATGATCTTCATAAGATGTAATCATGTGAAATGGCTTACTCAGATGACATAATGGTCACACAGAGGTGGCCAGGCCAGTTTTGTGTGCTTTTGTTGTTGGTGTCTTTCTCACAGACCAAGGAGTCATTGTGCAGGCAGAAAGAAGATCTTGAAATCCCCCAGTTGTCTAAAGACGGAGACATTATATTAGGAGGAATATTTTATTTTCACCTCAGCTGGAAGAACAGAGAGAACACTTACACACAAAAACCCGTGCCGCTGGAATGCATCAGGTAAATTAAACTATTAAAATGTAAATAGTTCTCTTTGTCTTGACTTTGTATAAAATGTTATAAATGGAAATGATTTAATTATTTTACATGATTATTTATAGACTCAGAAAAAAAAATGTTTTCACTACAAATATACTTGTCTGAATAAAGTTTGAGTTTCAGAGACTTCCAGTTTGCTCAAGCCATGCGTTTTGCCATTGAGGAAATTAACAACAGCACAGACCTACTTCCAGGCATTTCTCTGGGATATAATATTGATACATGCAGTTCCATTGTCAGAAGCATAAAAGTTGCACTTGCCTTGAACAACGATAACAACAATGTGTCTTCAGTCTCTGATGAGCCATGTACAAGACCTGTGCGAGTGCAGGCTATAATAGGAGAAAACTCTTCATCCTCCAGCACAGCAATAGCTACAATTCTAGGACCTTTTCATATCCCACTGGTGAATAGAACCATTATAACTAAAAATGTGCTTTTGGAAAATTAGTAGAAACCATTTATTTTTTCACTTGGAAAATGAAAATCAAGTATGTGATTGTTACGTGTATTTTACATACGTATTGTCTAATTTCTTACAATATTTCAAATAATATTGTTTTCTGTTTAGATCTGTTGCTTTGCTATAATTTTAACAATTTTGTTTACAAATATATGTACTGTACATACTATTATTTTTTCAGATCAGCCATTTTGCCACATGTGCCTGTCTCAGTGATAAATCAAAGTACCCATCCTTTCTCAGAACCATACCCAGTGACTACTATCAGAGCAGAGCTCTGGCTCATTTGGTCAAACACTTTGGTTGGACCTGGGTCGGAGCTGTTAGAACCAATGATGATTATGGCAACAATGGCATGGCAACATTTACAGAAACTGCAGAACAGCTGGGCATCTGTCTGGAATATTCTGTTTCTTTCTTTAGAACAGATTCATATGAAAAATTACAAAAGATAATTGATACTATCAAGACTTCAACTTCAAAAGTGATTGTTGCTTTTCTCACTCCTCGGGAAATGGAGATACTTTTACATGAATTGTCCCTTCACAACTTAACAGGGTATCAGTGGGTCGGCAGTGAGTCTTGGATATTTGATTCTCAAATTGCAGCAATGGATAAAAATCACATCCTAGATGGAGCTATTGGACTTTTTATCCCAAAAGCACATGTCAGTGGTCTGAAAGAGTTCATGCTGGATATAAAACCACTGAACTCATCCAACAATGGGGTGTTTACAGAGTTCTGGGAGGCATTATTCAGCTGTAAATTCAAGCAGACACAATCAGAGGAGATTCAAAGAGAATGTACTGGACAGGAGGATCTGACTGGAGTGGAAAACAGCTTCACTGACATGTCCCTCATGCCCATTTTAAATAATGTTTATCAAGGAGTGTATTCAGTGGCCCATGCTCTGCACAATATTTTTGAATGTAGCAAGACATGCAACAAAAATGTGCACATCGATCCATTCATGGTGAGCCTTACAAGAACAGTAATGTAATAT